CAATTTCTCAATCCATTCAGTTATGGTAGGACATTTGAGCTGTTTCCATGTTCATGCGATGGTGAATAATGCTGCTATGAACATTGGTGTACAGATCTCTTGTTTTTGTCTTGGTTCTAATTTTCTTGGAATATATTCCTAGTATTAACTACTACTTCAGTATAATACCATAGCCCAATGTTATGGACTGCCAACAGAGATGTTTAGTTCTTTATCATTCAATATGGAGTCAAGAAACCTCCTGTGAACTGTTTAACTGTTGCCTCACAGCGGCTTCATAGGAGACCATCGTTTTTCCCACTTTCCATCTGAGGTGAGTGAGGCTGAGAGAGGACAAACCATTTGCCCAAGGGCTAGATACACACATACAATTCTTCCTCTGATCGATCAAGTCGTTAATCGGGCACTTATTGATCATTTTTCATTGAGCATATTTTTTTATGCCAGGTACTATTCTAAGAACTGAGATAAAACAATTAAAATTATTACATCCATAAATGCTTGGCTCCTGACCAGAAGGTTAGAGGTTCTAGTCCCTCCTAGAAGATCCTTGGAAAAAAGGCTAGTTCATTTATTGAAAACCAGTTGTACTCTGACACACATAGGGCCACCAAGAGTCAAAATCAACAGCAAGTAGTTACAAGGTTTCTATTTCAGGGAAGTAGGTAAATAAGTATGATGGGGAGATTAATGAGTTCTGTAAGGGAGAAAGGATAACATGACAGGGGTGCAGAGAAGACTTTTACTTGGTGATCAGGAAGACCTGGCCAGGAGACTTTGGAGCAGAGATTTGAATGTGAGGAGCCAGCCATTTGAAGACCTGAGGTGAGAGCATCCCAGAGTGGACCAGTGAGCACAAACACCCCGAAAGCCTTAGGAACATGAATGGAGGTGAGGTCAGGGAGTTGGTGCAAGCCTTGTCAGTTACAGTAGGGTTTGGATTTGGTTCCAGTTGTGACAAGTTTCAAACCTCCATTGTCCCTGTGCAAAGAAGAAAGTCTCTGGAGCCCCAGATCCCAATATAGGAGCCATTTGACATCTGGAGGGAAAAGTGACCAGAGGGGTGAAGCAGGCCAATAGGTGCTTGCTTTTCCCCCTCCCAGACTGTTGCACTGGAATCTATCAGTCATCATGCATCCCCTGCTCTAGCTTGTGTCCAAGACCAAGGAGGGGTGTTAAGGAGGGAGTGAGACAAGAAATGAAGGCTAAGAGAGAGGCATGGACTGGGCTCTGCAGAGAGCGATGTGACAGGAAGAGGCCCCGACACAGAGCTCGGCACAGTACTGAAGAGGTGCTAAGAGGTTCAGACAAGTGCTATGGTCATGGAGAGAAGCACCAGAGATGCCTAGGAGACAATAGTGAGGGGGATGGAACAGATGTGGTGACACCAGATGTGAGGGTTGAGGGGAAAGGGTCTGTCCCTTGGGTGGCACACCCATGAAGAGGCACAGAGAGCTCAGAGGCTCCGTGTCTGGCTTCTCTGTGGTTTCTTGAATGGCTCAGGCTGGTAGTAGAACTGGAGTCATGGAAGAACAGTACAGTATGGAGCTCAGATCCTGTCCGTTGTGTGCTACCTGAAGACAGATACCCTTTCACATACCTCAAAATGCGTTGTTGTCAAGTTGTTTCCAACTCACAGCAACCCTCTGTCGGATTCCAAGGATGTGCATCTTAACAAAGAGACTTCAGGAGAGCAGCTGGCAGATGTGAACTGCCAGATACATGCAGCCTTTACTTTAGTATCACAGCTCGCTACAGACTGTGCCACCGGAGCTCCCCCATTCCTCACTTGCCAGATGTTGCTGTTGCGTGCCACTGAGTCAGAACTGTCTCAAAGCCCACCTTCCAGTGGGTTCTCAGAGGCTGTAAAATCACGCAGGAGACAGCCCATCATTCCCTCACGAAGCAGCCAGTCAATTAAAATTATGTGCCTTTGGGTTAGCAGCACACCTCCTTTCCCCTGGGCCACCAGGTCTCCTTGTCTTTTCTTTTGTATTGTGGTAAAAATATACATAATAAAGCATATTATTTCTGCACACATAATTTGGTAGCATTGATTATATTCTGCAAATCATAGAATCATTCTCACTGTCGCTTTCTAAATTATGCCACTACCATTAGCATAAACTCAATTCCCCTCAGTAAAAACTAGTTTCCCTTTCTCCATTCTATTGTTTACCCCTTGTTGTTGTGGTAATCACTGGTAATTTTGGGTTTCTGTGTATTGTTCCATGTAAATGAGATAATACATTTTTTGTTCTTTTGCGACTGATATTGTTCAATATAATATTCCCAGTGGCATGCATTGTTTCTTTCTATGATGTCCCTGTGTGTTTACCTTTTATGGCTAACACTGAGAAAAATGTGAATCCCAGAGCACTTAATGGTGCTTATGAAAAATCTAAACCTAGATCAAGAAACTATTGTCCACACAGAGCAAGGGAATATTCCATGGTTTAAAATCAGGAAGGGATGTATCCTTTCTTCATACCTATTCAATATGTATACTGTGCAAATAATTCCTGAACCTGGACTTTTAAGAAGAGGAATGTGGCATCAGGATCAGAGGAAAATTCATCAACAACCTGCATTTTGCAGATGACACAGCCTTGCTTGCTAAAACTGGGGATGACTTGAAACACTTTCTGCAGAAGATCAAGAACGATAATATGTATCCTTTGGAATGAATTACATCTCAGCATCCAGAAAGCAAAAGTACATAGAACTGGCTAATAGGCAACATCCAATCCAGATAGATGGAGAAGGAATTGAAGTTGTCAATTATTTCATCTTGCTTGCTTCGAGAATCAACACCCTTGGTACCAGCAGCCGTGAAATCAGGAGAGCTCTCCAAAATACTGAAGAGTAGTGATGTCAGCTTGAAGACTAAGGTGTGCCTAATTCAGGCTATGATCTTTTCACTCACTCACTATACATCAGAGAATTGGACAATGAGTATAGATGGCAGAAGAATTTCTTTGAGTTGTAGTGTTGGAGAAGTGTACTTAAAATCTGCCAGAAGAACAGAGATATCTTGGAAAAAGTGCAGCCAGAGTGCTCCTCGGAGCCAAAGATGACAAAGCTTCATCTCATATACTTTAGGCATGTTGATAAGTGAGGTTATTCTTTGGAATGGAACTTGGAAAGATGGAGGGCCAGCAAAAATGAGGAAGAGCCCCAGCGAGATGGATCGACACAGTGACTGCAGCCTGGGCTCAAGGGTGTCAGAGATGATGAGGATGGCACAGGATAGGACAGGGCTCACGTCTGTTTTATATAGTGTCACTGTGAATTGTGCTCAACTTGACGGCACCTAACAGCAGCATACCTTTTCTTTTTCCATTGATCTAGTGGTGGACCGTTTCAGCTGTTTCTACCTTTAGGCTGTTGTAATAAGTGCTGTGGTGAACATTGGCTTGTAGGTTTCTCTTTGCGTTCTTACCTTCAGTTCTGGGTAGACACTGGGGATTGGTGTTGCTGCAACATAGAGTAGTTCTGACTTTTTTTTTAAAATTGTATTTTATTTTCATGAACATTTACAGAGATTTTGGATTTCCATTCATTCATTTAATTTTCATTTTTTTTTCTCTATCCACCCCCAGTAGTTCTAACTTTTAAATAAACTGCCAAACTAACCTTATTCTTAAGAGCTTTGGGGCTATAAGAATTTGGACTGACCACTTTGGTTTAAATTTGTATAAACTGCTTTTTCCAATTATAAAATCCAGAGTCATTACGAATCATTTTGAAAAGAGAAAAAATACTATTTTAACATCTATCTTTTAATTTTCATCTATCATTAATTTAATGTCCTAGGCAGCGATTTTTTATTTCTTAGTTGGGATCTTATGGCCTGTCATGTTATTTTTTTTTTTCTATCCATTTAAAAATGTTGTGATCACATAGGCTTTTTATTTTCCATTATCACAAACTTTTTGGAGAAATCACTTTTCCTGGATCTATAGTATTGCACAGGTACCATATATTGTTCTTGTTGTGTTGTGTTGTGTTGTTGATTGCCATCAAGTCAAGCGCGATGCAGAGCGACTCTATGAACAGAAGACTTAATGCCTTCCCATAACTATCATCAGTTCCAAGTTCATAGAGTTTCCAGAGGCATGTGGTTTAGGAAGTTGATGCCACTCCTGCCTCCAAACCTGTTTTACAGCTGGGAGCTCCACCAAAAACTGTCCACATGGGGAAACCATTCTGATATTTGATACTTCAGTGGTACAAGGTTCAGCATCACAGCAACCTAGGTTACTTCATACTACATATTGACAAAGAGTGATGTACCAAGTGGAAGAGTGTTCCTTCAGATATAAACAGCACTAGTTTCATTTAGCAATTTCATTAAGTGTCATCAAGTCGATTACGACTGAGAGTAACTTTTGCACAAAAGACCTGAACTCTGTTCTATAACATCATTTCTGTACATTTATAGAGTTTAGAGAGTTTGTAGAGTTCCCAGAATACTTAACTAATTCCTTGTTATTGGACCTCCAGGTTGTTTCCAATTTCATGCTCTAAAAGTTATCAATACTGTATTTATTAACTATTTTCTACCTTTTAGAATTGTTTTCTTAAGCTTAGAATTCTGATATCTACTTCCTGAGAGAATAATAAGTATTCACATTTTTAAAGTTTTTATATATGTTATCAAATTCCCCTCCAAAACTATTTAGACTCTCCACAGAGAACTCTTTGAGTGCCTATATTTTATCACTTTTTTTTTTTCAGTTTGAGGATTGAAAAAACCTTACCTTTGTTAATTTGGTAGAACATATCATCCTGCTTTTGAATACCGTCCTTTTTCATAGTTTTGTGGTATCCCATCCATAAAAGATTTTTTTGCTGTGCAATTCTGTAACAGATGGTTTCTGATGGGGTTGTACGTGTAGGACATTTCTAGTGTTTGGGTTTTATAAATTACTCTACTGTGAGCAAGTTGGTGCTTAAAACCTAAACTGACTGCTTGCCTGTGTTCTTTCTCTCTTGAGGGCACTATGATGCCCGGGCCAGGGTGCTTGTTTGCCACATGACCTCCCTGCTCCAGGTGCCCTTGGAGGAGCTGGATATCCTTGAAGAGACCTTCCTCGAGAGCCTGAAGGAAACCAAAGAAGAGGAATCTGAGTAAGAAAGCCCTGTGACTCCAGTCACCCCTGTCAGCAATTGAGGGCTTCTGCCTGAATACAATTTTCAGATAAGAGTGTCTCCCCTCCCCTGATTAAAAAGAGGGGTTGTGAGGTAGGAGCAGCATTCATTGGACAAAGAGTGAAAAGGCCCATCTGTAGCCCTGACTCACTGTGCTATGAGTCACTTTGTGCATTGAGTCACTTCCCTGCTCTGGTCCTTAGTTTCCTCATTTGTAAGAAAAAGGAATTGACATCATAATTGCTAAGGGCTGTGAATATGCAATTTTAGCATCCCTGGCCCTACCCTGATCCATGACCCGACCCTGATGCATAACTCTACCCTGATCCGAGCCCTGTGATACACTGGCCATATTGAGCCCATGGAGCCAAACAGACCTGGGCTCACATCCCACTTCTGACACACGTCTACTTTTTGGTCTGAGACAGGTGGTTACCCTTCTCTAAACCATGATATCCTCATCTCCAAAGTGGAATCAGGACACCATCACCCAGGGTCATTGTGAAAAATGCATTTGATAGTATTAGAAAATGCTTGGCCCATGGTTGGCACGTAGCAAATGCTTAGTGGATGCAACTCCTCCCCTTCCCCCTGTAGCATGCTCCTGTACCTAGCAGTTTTGCTATCTATGTTTAGTAAGGAGTGTGTAAGGGGAATTACACTGATAGCTTAGCTAGAGAGGAGTATCTCTAGAACGCCTCACACAGGATCTAACCCAAGAGCAATAAATCAGTCACAGTCACAGCCTAATTGTGGTCTTCTTGCACCAGGCACGTCTCCTGGTTTTTGTTCAGCCGCAGCGGCTTTCTGTGAGCAACCAGATCATGCCGACTCAGCCCAGCTGGGACTGAGCTCTGAAGCATGCTCAGAGCCACGACTGCCCTCCGGCCAGGATTTGTTGGACAAAGGGAGAGGTGTTTCCTTGAGATAGGAGGAAACTTGGTCTGTTAATGACTTGAAAACAGACTTGTTTTGGCTCCCAGAGCTGTGTCAGTAAAGAAATACCTGAATCCAAGCCAAGGACCATAAACGCAAGGACTGCCCAAGTTCTTTGGATGTATTGGAAATTTGTAATCTTACGTGCTTTGAAATGAAGAAACCTTTTGATTATTGTTTGGAAACCTGGCTGGCAGAAGGAAAAGAAAGATTTGCTTTGATAAAAACCAATTAATGCTAAACCAGGAAGCTCCGGTGGCCTAGTGGTAAGGAGTCACACTGGCAACCCAAAGGTACAGAGTTCGAAGTTCCAAGCTGCTCCATGAGAGAAAGGTGGACAGTCTCCTACCGTGTGAATAACTGCCTCTGAAAACCCACTGGAGAGTCACTGTGGGCTGGGTCCAACTAGATGTCACGCAACAGCAATGCTGAACCAGGAAAAATGTAAAGCAAAAGCTCCAGGTTTTTGTCACACATAACTCTGCCACTTACCAACCATGTGAGCTTGGGCATGTCATTTACCTCAGCTAGAAAAATGGGATCCTAATCCTCCTCAGAGAATTCCGGTCAGGCTCAAATGGGTTCACACATATGAACTGCCTCAAGCAAGCTTAGCACAAAATAGTCAATAGATATAATTATTTGATTTTTTAAAAATTGCAATCATTATTATATGTAGGTACTTTCCCCATAAAAATGCTTGACATAAAAAAAAATGCTTGACATGAATAATTGTTATTCAAGTTTAGAGATTTTACAGACTTCCTAGATCTTATTTGGAATTCCAAGAAGGTTCTGAGGCCAAGGAAAGCACAGTTCTTATTCAGCCAGTAAACGTGGTTCTCGTTTTCATACTGCTTGCTGTTAGCTATGTGCAGCCTTGGGATATGTCACTTCCCACCACTGGGCACCAGTGTTTTACTCGAACAGCTAACCAGAAAGACCAGACTCACTGCCTTCGAGTTGTTCTCGACTCCTGTCAGCCTTCCATCAGGTTTCCGAGGCTGGACTTCTTAACAGGAGCAGACTGCCTCCTCTTGCTCCTGTGGAATGGTCACTGGATTCCAACTGCCAGTCTTCTGGTCAGCAGCCCAACACGTAACCTACTACACCAACAAAGCTCCTATGTACAATTGGAGGTTCAAAAGAAATGTGGTGCTGTGTGCTATCCAGTCAGAATCGACTCCTAGCTGACCCTCCAGCAGGTTTTTAGAGGCAGTAAATCACATGGGAGGAGATTGTCCATCCTTCTCCCACAGAGCAGCTGGTGGATTTGAACCCCGTGCCTTTGGGATTACAGCATAGCTTCTTACCACTAGGTCCCCAGAGTTGTAGGGGAGTTATTTTTCAACAATAAGGTTCTGTGTTTCTGAGAGGTGAGCTTATCACTTGGTATTCCAAAGTGATTTGTTCCGACAGATGGTCCTGGGCTGTGACATGACAATTTTCTTCCCTTAGGTCTCATTTCAGCCCTATGGCTCCTACCTTCCTACCTTGTTTTGTGACTTCGCCTTTCTATGTCTTACTTTCTTCACCTCTAGTGTCTACCTCATGGAGTTGTTGAGAGGATGAATCTAATTAATACATATCAATTGCTTGGTACATAGTACACTCTCCCTAAGCTTCAACCAATATGCTGCTGGGGGCTGATGCTAGTCTCCTTATAACAATAATGTCAACAGCTTTTATTGAGTGCTTATTCAATAAATGCTGACACTAACTATTCAGTATTTACTAAATTCCGGCACCTAACATCATTTCTCATAGCAGTTCACTGGAGGATTTTGCAAATGAGGAAACAGAAAGACACAACTCACCCGAGGTGACATAGCCAGACCTCAAACCAGACCTTTCTGAGTCAACCACTAGGAACATCACTTACTGCATCCCTGGGGTCACGGCTGACTGTCCCAGGTGCCCTCCTTTAATTCTGAAGAATGCAATAAAGATAATTATTTTATGGGGTTCTCTAAGCTTTTACTAGTATCTAAGTATCACTAGACCCCCGGAGATAAGCTCACCCTCTCTATCAAGAGAAGGTGATAAAAAAGAAGGTGGTAGTGAGCTGATAAAGTTAGGGAGCAACCTCTTAAAAGATAAGATGGCAGTGAGTAAAATTTAGTTATTTGTGGCTCTGTGAAATCGGCAGTGTAGGTGTCTTGCTTTTCATTGGGAATGTTTGGCTTCAGCTTGTTATTTGGCCCAAATCTTAGATTTGTCTTCCACCTCTTTGGAAGGTTGCAGTCAAAAGTCATTTCTGTCACAGTCATTTCTGGCATCCGGGAACCTGTTTTGATGACGCCAGATCTAGTCATCACAGAGCATGCACACTCACACTATATCTAGTCAGTGGTAGGAACAAGGCTATCTTTCAGAGTTGGTGGTGCTCTCCGCAGGTTCACTGTCAAATACAGGAAGCCTTCTAGATGGATCTCAGAGTCAATATCTCTGCTCATACTTTAGACATTGCAGTTCAGTCAGACAGTTCAGTTAACTGTAAGAGCAAAATGCTGCAGGAGTTAATGATGACTAAGAAAGCTATTCATTTTATGGACAAGGCAATTATGAAGAACATTTCTTTGCAGGCTTAATATAGACAGAAATAGATTGGTACCGACAGGGAATATTAGGAGAGAATGACTTAACGAAATAACTTTAGCTAAGCAAATGTTTATAAACATTTCATTAATAATACAAAGTAAAATAACAGAACTCAGAATATATCATGCATCTAGTCTTTTGTGAAAGTGGTTGGATATAATGACATTCATTCATTTGAATAACACAGCCTTCAAGAATTAAAAAGGGAATATTTTTCATTTTTCCCTTTTAGGCTATGAATCTTCTCTTTGGAACTCAGCTTAAAGTGAGTGACTATTAGTTTTCATAGATATGCAGATATAAATGTAAGAATATTCTGAAAGCAGTTGATTTAAAAAATGTCAGTAGCAGTAACTCAGAAATTTGTCTATATTGTTAATTATAAATCTGTAGAATAATTACAACTTTTTAACATCTCAGATTTGTTTTAATATTCCAGAAATTTTACTCTTGATGGCTATTGGCCTATATACTGGTGAAATAGTTTTATTTCTCTAAGATACATATCCTATTCCCTCCAGTGTGAGGGATCACCCTGGAAAGATGTTCATATCTGATCCTTCTTAGATTAATTTGGTTTTGTTCCATATTCTGAGTGCCTTCCAACTCCAAGCCCAGGGCTGGGGAAGGCTTGCTCCATACCCTGAAAGTTTGATCTAGGGATTTTCAAACATTGGATACAGCAGAAACCCTGAAGGAGTTCTTACAAATGCAGATTCTTCTGCCCAGAGATTGAAATGTAGAAAAGAGGTACACAAGCCCCACCATGATCCTGATGTAGTGAATCCACAGCCTACCTATGAAAACAACTGGTCTAGAGAGCCCCAGGGGTGCAGTCCCCGGGGAGTTGCACTGCTAAACCAAAGGTGGGGCCCCTCAGTTCAAATCCACAAGCAGCTGAGGGAGAGAAATGGGCTGTTTTGTCCAGGCAATTTACAGCCTCCAAAAATCCACTGAATGTTCAGCTGTGCATCACTTCTTACTTGGCAGCAATGAGAGTGAGAGAGAAAGAGAGAAAAGTCTATAATGGGCTCAAACACAGCAGAGACTGTGCAGACAATGAAGCATCAGGCAGAGTTTGTTCTGTTGTCGAGGGTCACTATGAGTCGGTGCCAACTTGATGGTGCCTAATAACGGCACTGTACAGAGAGTTAGAGAGCATAAAAGGGGAACATTTTGCCAACTTTGGAACTCAAGGCAGGCTTACTAAAGAACACATCACATCAGCTGACTGTTTAAACAGACCAAGGAAGGTGAGGCAGTCTTAGAAGGAACAGAGATATGGAGGCATAAATCAGTGTGTCTGCAGGCAGCCAGTATTTCTGGAAAGTAGAGTGTAAGTTAAGTGACAAGAGAGGAAGGTGGAGAGGTGAACAGGGACAAGGTCACAGTAAGAATGCTGGAGAGGTAACACTTCATCCTGAAGACAGCAGACAGGTGCGGAAGGAGGAGAACAAGATGGCCAATCATCTATAATTCCTGTTGACCTTGGCCTCTATGATTTTGTATGTCACACAGTCAGTTCAGACTGACTCCCAGCCACCCTGTGTGGCAGAGTAGAACTGTCCCACAGAGTTTCCTAAGTTGCAATTTGTATGGAAGAGTACTGCTATATCTTCTCCAGAGCAACTGGGTGGGTCACCAGCGGATCTATAAGGCTTACCAGGGATCTCGTTAAAATATTGATTGTGATTCAGCACATCTCAGGCAGAAATGCAAGGAGTCCGCTCAGAAGGACCCATAGGGAAGCCCTTGTTTGAACTGCCAGTCTTTCAGTTTTCACTGGAGCACTTAAACATTACATTACCATGGCTCTGTTATATTCCCTAATTATGATCCTCACCCTGCCAAAGGGTCAATCTGCATTTATATTTTACCTGTGAAAAAAGTATGACGCAAAAAATTCACATGTCTTGGTATGTTACCCAACAAGATAATGGCAGAACTGGACTCAAGTACCTCTTCCCCAGATTTCAAGGCCTTATGCTGTGTGCGTCGAATCAAGATGCAGCTGATTCAGAGCCAAGTGCAGGCCCTGGTTCAGCTGTAGGTACCTCTTGTTCACTCTAGTTGTTAGGTGCTGTCGAGTCAACTAGGACCTGTAGCAACCCTATTAACAACAGGTCAGAGCCTTGCCGTGTCACCTTCATGATCGCTCCCATGCTCGAGCCCATGGTGGCCCTCACCCTGTCACTCATCTCGCTGAGGGTTTCCTCTCTTCTGCTGATTTATTTCTCCAGCCTTGAACTCTATGGAAAGCAACTAACCTCCAGCTTCCCTAATTGCACTGAATAGCGATGGCAATTAAAGGCCAAGGTATCTATCTCCACAGCCTTTGCTTGGAAGGAAGTTACGGTGATAATGAAAGGAATGATAATAGTCACAAACATACTAAGTGATTAAAGAGCTCTTGTGACCCAGAGTTTAAAATGCTCAGCTGTGAACCAGAAGGTTGACAGTTCAAACCCACCAGCTGCTGCTCTTTGGGAGAAAACCAAACCCATCTGCTTCCATAAAGATTTACAGCCTTCAAAATCCTGTGGAGAAACTCTGTCATGTAGGGTGACTGTGATTCAGGGTCACTTTGATGGCAGCAGTTGGGGGTGTTAGGCTGGTCTTCACTCTGTGTCCTTAGTTGACAGAGCAACCAGTATCTGGGGCATTGCTGATCTCAGGGCTGACTGACTGCCTAGCGACATATCGGGTCCTATGCTGACCCTTAAACATCCTTCCAGAAGTGAGGCACAGCCCTTCTGCCTACATGTCACTGTCTAGTGCAGGTCACATGGCAACCTCTGTTGCACCCTACAGAGATGTGGAAGCCTTGTGCAGGGAGCACTGTTACAGGGAGGGCTGACTGAGCGTTGAATGTCTAACACAGCAGCAGAGACTGTGGAAACCAGTGTTAAAGCAAACAAAAGCTCCTGCAGTCACGTCACCTCCAGCTCATGGTGACCTCATGTATTGGGAGGAGAACTGCCGTTTATTTTCTTGCCTGATTTTTCCCAAGTGGGTCACCAGGCCTTTCTTCTGGGACACCCTTGGGTGGGTTAGAACCACCACTCCTTTGACTAGTAGTCCAGCACTTAACCATGTGCACCACTCAAGGACTCCCTCAAGCCAGTATCTGCTGGGTTTGACCCCAAGCATCAGTACTTGTACTCATCTTAATCATTGCCCTTCCTACGACTTGATGAGGCTCGTGCAGCCCAGCCTCATCTTGGGCATCTGAAATATCTGTCGTGGAAAACAGCACTTCTAGGGGCATAGAGATTTTTATCATTGGTCCCTACTTTGCTGTAATGACACCGCTGAGAAGGACTATCCCTTCACAACCAGGAGAGGCTTGTGGACAAAGTTTGTTGGAGTGAGCTGGCAACCAGCCAGAAAGCAGAGATCCTCGACCAGAACCCCATTTCTTTTCAGTTACTGGGGAATGAGCTATTTCTGAGCACGTAAGGCCCAGCTCGTCAGGAGGCCAGGGGACCCAAACAAGTGTTGAGCAAATGTGTATATTTTTCTGTTTACCACTTCAGCACACAAAGAAGTGCTGGCATCCAGAACATTATCAAAAATGTGCTGATGGCAGGGACGCAGGAATGAATGCATTTAGTCTGTACAAACCCCACAGCCTAATGAGGTAGATGTTATTGTTGTAGTTAAATGCCATCGAGTTGTAGGCAACTCATAGTGAGTGACCCTATGAACTTTCTTCGTTTCTCCAAGTTCATAGGGTTTCCGGAGGCAAGCTATTTCAGAAGTAGATGCCACTCCTGCTTCCAAGCTTGTTTTAATCGGGGAGCTCCACCAAACCCTGTCCACCGTGGGTAACCGTTCTCGCATTTGGCACATCAAGGTCACAGTGTTCAGTATCCCAGCAACCACGAGTTACTTCTGTACAGCAGATCGACAGGGCAGTGCTATACCACCTAGAAGAATGTTTGACCAAAAACAATTAAAAACAGGCCCAAGGACCCTTCAGGATTTAAAAATTCTGGCACACCCACGAGCTGGTGGACTGTTTGCTAGAGACCCTCGAGTTCATCTGGCAAGTGCCATCTGCTGACATCCATTTGGGGTGAAAAGAAAGGCATAGCCAAAAGTTTGTTCCATACCTAATGTCTACCTCCAGGATTTTAAATCCAGGATTTTAAACCCTGGAGGTAGACGTTACTCTCCCCATTATACAAATGAGGAAACAAATGCGGCTTCGGGACATGCTGCAATAAAAAAACCAATCAGTTGCCACGGAGTTGATTCCAGCTCATGGTGATGTCACAGACTTGGCCTCATGCATCACCTGTGAGCCATAGTTGTCAGTGGCTGAGTGTTTGGAAGCAGATTGTTAGACTTCCTCCCCCACCCCCCGCAAGTTCACCTCTGGGTGAACTCAAACCTCTAACCTTTCTGTTAGCAGATGAATGCCTTAAATATTTCACCATCAGGGTTTCATTGATAATATAGGCATCGTTTCATTGAACATTCACAGTGCAGCAATTATTATCCTAAATGCTTTATAGATATTCTCCTACTTGATTCCCACTGCCCCTTGGGAAGAAGGTACTATCCATTTACATCTGTAGTATGGGGCAAATAATTACACTACTGCTAAGGGTGAGATTAACTGTGTCAAGTGCAAAATACAGTGGCTGCCTTACAGGAAATCCTTGATAGATATTTACTGTTCTTTATCATCCTCTTCATTTGCTATCTCCCCACATGGAGTTGCTGTCCAAACTCCAATGTGAGTGCAGAGTCCGCAGTAGTAATAACCTGCCCTCACCTGCTCTTACTCGTGACTTCAAAGACTGAGGGGTTGAGTCCCCAGCGGGAAAGCTGGGCCTGGAGATAGATGCCCCTGAGCCCACACAGCAGCCATCTCTACATCCACCCGTCCCCAGTCCACTCTCTTCTTGCCTGTTAGTTTTTAAACGCCAAGTCTGAGCGATTCTAGACATTGTTCCAAGACCAAAACTACCAGTGCAGACATTTCTCTAACCCATCTTCAAGAAGATTATTCTGAGGATATTAATTTCCAAATACCCTAGAGGTGGGCTGGCATGGGACAGGGGGAGAAAGGTAGGGCAGGTGGGGAACAATAGATTCTGTGGTTCTGTTTTGTACTCATTCTGTGTCCCATCTGTTTAAAGAAATTGTGTGTGCTTCTTTTGCTATTATTATTATTTTCTTATCTTTCCATTATTTAAATTGCAACCATGTTAGGATGGAGTTGTCTGGTAAGTAGCACAATCCATGCTTAGGGACTCCCCAGCTAGGTTTCAGAATGTCTGAAGCCATCAGTGATTTCAGGGGCACTTGGCTGCCTTGCTCTATATGACAGCGCACTCAGCATTGAACCCAGCTTGGAGGTTGGTGAGGTGGGGAGGTCTCCTGGCACAGCTGGCCCTTAAAAACCCACCTCCTTTTACCCTAGAATGGCCGAGGCGTCCCGGAAGAAGAAAGAAAACCGGAGGAAATGGAAGCGCTATCTCCTGATAGGCCTAGCAACTGTCGGAGGTGGAACGGTGATTGGTGAGCCACCTCATAAGGGTGGCACGTGGGCTAGGGTGATTTGGAATGGGAGGTGACACCAAGCTTAGAGTAAGAGTACAGGATGCAGGGGGTCAGCAGGATCTTGAAGGTGACCAGTCCATGAGACGCCCACTCCAGCGAAGCATCCAGATCATCTTTAACACACACCCACAGGACACTCACTCAGCCAGTTTTGCAGCCAGCCCTGTCTGAGTGGTGTGTCTTCTCTTGTTTCCGTTCTAGTCTACTTTGTCTGGCAGCCCACATTTGAATTTATCAAACAACATCACAAATGTCACATGTAAGTAAAATTTTGCTGAAGATAACCAAAAACTAGATACAACAGTAGTACTTTTACAAGGAACTGCCAGAAATTCCATCTGGAGTCTAAGGAAGACAGGATAGATACAAGGGATCTCGTTTCTCCTATCAGATCTTGACTGAGAACAGACTATCAGAAAGAGGTTTACCTTTGTTTTATTGAGGATGGAAAAGCATTCAGCTGTGTGAATCATAACAAATTACGGATTATATTACAAAGAACGAGAATTCTGTAACACTTTATTATGCTTGTATGAAAACCTGCACATAGAACAAGAAGCGGTCATTCAAACAGAACAATGGAATCATTCAAACAGAACAAAGGAAAAGCAAACAGTCTGAGAAACTGGGCTGTGTGGAGAAAAACACAGCATCCATATTGGAGGAAGAATCATTAACCTGTGATATGCAGATAAGACAAGCTTGCTTGCTGAAAGCAAAGAGAACTTAAAGCACTTTAAGAGGACTTAAAGCACATCATCTTTTAATAAAGATTAAAGATTATAGCCTCCAGTGTGGATTATACTTCAAAATAGCTGGACCAATAAGCAACATCCTGATAAATAGACAAGATTGAAGTTGTCCATGATTTATGGAAGCAACAGTAAAGAAATGTAAACAATATGTTGCATTAGACAGATCTGTTGCAAAAAAGTTTTCATCAAGATATGAAAAAGAAAGAAATATGTCACCTTGAGGACTAAGCTTTGTCTTCAGTGTTTTCAGTTACAGCGTATGCAGGTGAAAGCTAGAAAATGCATAAAGAAAAACAAAAAAGAAATGATGCTTCTGGATTATGGTTCTGATAAAGAATATTGAATATATAAGACTGCCAGAAGAATGAACAAATCTGTCTTGGAGGAAACGTAGCCAGAATGCTAGTTAGAAACGAAGATGGTGAGACTTTCTCTCATTCTCCTGTACTTTAAACATGTTACTAAGAGGAACCTACCCCTGGAGAAGGACATCATTCTTGATAGAGCATACTTATTAGCTCATTGCCTTCAAGTTGGAATAGAGCCATAATTAACCATTTGGTGAGTTTTTATGGTAGATTACATGAGAAGAGATTACCCATCTTTCTCCCATGGAGCCAGTTTTAGGTTGAGATTGCTGGAGAGGCACCACCTGTGGGCCAGCAGTCAACATCCTACATACTACATCAGAGCTCTCTTAAAGCACAGGGCCAGCAAAAAAGAGGAAGGCCTTCAAAGAGATAGGCAGACACAGTTGCTGCAATGGTGGACTCAGACCTAACTGCAATTGTGAGGATGGCACAAGGTCAGGCAGTGTTTGATTCTGTTCTACGTAAAGTCACTACAAACAGGAACCAACTCGATGACATTTAACGATGAACAATTGCATTGAGAACACTTGGATAATCCAGGATAATCTTCCCATCTCCAGATCCTTAATTTGACCACATCCACAAAGTTCCTTTTTCTGTATAGGGTAACAGACTCACAAGTCTAAGGATTAGTACATGAATATCTCTGTTGTTGATGTTGTTGTTATGTGCCATCAAGTCGCCTGCAACTCATAGCGACCCTATACACAATAGCTCTGAACGCTGCCCTATCTGATCCAATCTCACTGTCTCTGACACACCTAACCTGTTAATCTCGGTTAACGGTGTCAATCCATCTCTTCCAGAGTTTTCCACTCTTGTACTGTCCCTCCAGGCTTCTGAGAATGTCCTTCTCCAAAGACTGGACACTTCTAGCAACATGCCTGAAGTATGTGAGCCAGAGCTTCAAAATCCTCACCTCTAAGGAATAACTTGTTTTCACTCTCTCCAGGACAAACCTGTTTGTTCTCTTTGCAGTCCATGGAATGTTCAACACTCTTCTCCAGCACTGCAACTCAAAGGCATCCATCCTCCTCCTGTCATCCTTAGTCATTGTCCAACTCTCTGACGCATAGCAAGTAATTACAAAGACTATGACCTGAATTAGATGCACCTTAGTCTCCAGACTGATATCGTTGCTCTTTAGCACTCTGGAGAAATCCAATGCAATTTGTCATTTGGTTTCCTGACTGCTGATGTCAAGAGAGTTGATTGTGGAACCGAGCAAGCTAAAATTGCTAGAACCATTATTCTGCCTACCACAGCTTCCTTTTCTAGAAAACGGAGATAATGTTGAGAGGATACAATAAGATAACATGTAATAGTAAATACCTGGCACATAATGGAACTCCTAGATGGCACAGAGAGTTAAATGTTCACCTTTTGGTTAGAGGCCTGAGTTACTGCAGAATAAAGGCCTGCGAATCGATTTCAGAAAAGCCAGCTGTTAAAAACCCTGTGGAGCACAGTTCTTCTCTGGGGCACATGGGGCTGCCCTGACTTAGAAGAGACTGAACAGTGCCTGATGTTGCTGGGGTGGCAGACAGTAGCTGCTCAGTCAGTAGTCTGTGCACTAGTATCGTTAGATGCAGAGGGAAGAACTCAGCAGACTGTATTTTCAACTTTGCCACATTCCTGCCCTGATCCACCCTTCGGTGCTTTCCTTGCAGGTGTGACTGGGGGGCTGGCTGCCCCTCTTGTTGCTGCAGGGGCCGCAACCATCATTGGCAGCGCCGGAGCAGCAGCTCTTGGCTCAGTGGCGGGCATAGCTGTCATGACCTCCCTGTTCGGTGCCGCAGGAGCTGGCCTGACAGGTAAGATGCAAAAACCGTGGTTCAGGTATAAGGTAATTGTTAGTCAAATTTGTGTCTTCTAGGTTGCAACACCCCCATGATACATCTTCAAGGATATGAACATGTACGGCCAAGCACAATCAATAAGAGTGCATCTAAATTCCAAAATCAATCTCCATAATAGTCTATGTGTTTCCTACTGCCAAAGGGGCCCTTTAGAGTAGTGAGAGAAGATCTTCACCCTGAAACCCACAGCATCCCTTTTCAGCAGGAAGTAGCTAAGAGAATACACCATCCCCTTTTCCTTATGACTCAGGGCGAAGTCTCTCTCAGGGAGGAGTGACAGGGAATGGCAAAGGACACACTGACAAAGAAGATTAATCAGAACTGGCTTTGACAAGCACTGTGGCATTTGGACAAGAACAAACTGGGAGGAGGGTAGAGAGAATAGTGCCACAATGAATGAATGGAAACCCAAAATCTCTGTAAATGTTTATGAAAATTAATAAAATATAATTATAGAGAGAAAAAAAAGTGTACCACAAATTCTCTTCAGTGGGGCTTCCTGGAAAAGAAAGGTAAGGCCTGGCTTTTCTTAGACTTGGATCTCAACTCTGCCCAAAATTGCAGCCGGCTTTTCTGAACCAGCAGCTCTGCATGAGTCAGAATTAGGAATGAATTTGAAAAATAGGCTCTCTGCCAGCACCTTGTGCAACCTTCCTGAGAAAGCATCTGATTGGACCCAGCTGGCACCATCCAGTAAGGAGCCTTCCTATTGGATAGTTCAGGACCTGCTTCCTCAGAGGTATTTGGGTCTCCTGTTATGATAGAGGGCACATGCCTACCCTTCATTTATTAACATTGTGTAGGAGAGCTTTTCTAGACCACATGTATTATCCACATAGATGCAGAGACCCCTCTTCAACTCCCAAAGTGGAATGTCACGCCCTGCATGGGGAATCTTGGTTCATTTGATCCACTTTTACTAAGTGGAGGATGTCATACAAAGTATGTGAGAATGGACAAGGTGCAGAAGTCAGGACAAGACAGTAGTTTAGAGTCTGGCCTTCCAGTTAAACACCTGGCTCTGTAATTCAGGGGCTGGCTAGTTTTGAGCAATCTCTTACTGTGTCCTATAATTGAGAGCAGTGATCTACCTTGAGAACCAAATGTGTTTGTCCAGGGCAGGGCACACAGCCATGCTCACCAAATGAGCAGTTCAGACTCATAGCCCAGGGCCACCAGCCACCTCCATTTTTACTGTCATGCCTGGCTCTTTAGGCTACAAGATGAAGAAGCGTGTGGGAGCCATTGAAGAGTTCACGTTCCTGCCTCTGACGGAGGGCAAGCAGCTGCACATCACCATCGCCATCACGGGGTGGCTCGCATCTGGAAAATACCGTGAGAACCAGAGGGCAAGGGGCAAGGCAGCATGGGAAGGGGGCGTGGGCTAAGCTCTTGATTATGTATGTCTCTAGAGTGGTGGTAGGTATTAGGATCCCTTTGTATGGTGGAGAAACTTAACCTTAAGTAAGATTATTTCATTCCCCTCTCTATCCCTCTTTCTATCCAAGTATGCATCTAGTCTATCCACCCATCCATTTATCCATCCAAATATTCATCTGTCCACCCACCCATGCACCCCATCCATCCATCCATCCACCCACCCACCCACCTATCTATCCATGTATCCATCCACATCCCTCTAACTAGCTGTCATCCATGTAGTCATCCACCCACCCATCTATCCATTCATCTTACAGTATACCCAACTTACCATGTGCCAGACACTGAGTTAGGCCTTAGCGATCAGTGCTGAGCAGCACAAGCCTGGCCTTCCCTTTCTCGGAACATATGATCCAAGGCAGGAGACAGACTGTTCAACAAGAAAGTATAAGGAAGCTGTATGGATGGAAGTAGCCCTGGTGTCACAGTGTTTAAGTGCTTGGCTACTAACTGAAAAGTAAGCCATTTGAATCTCTCAGCCACTCCACAGGGGAATGTTCCAGCAGTCTGGTTCAGTAAAGATACAACCTTGGAAACCCACTGGAACAATTCCATTCTGTCCTGTAGAGTCCCTGTGAGTCAGCATCAACTCGGCAGCAATGAGTTTTGGAGGTTTTGTGTATGGTATCCTGGGTGCAGCGAGCCCTGGTGGTGCAGTGGTTAAAGAGCATAGGGACGAACCGAAAGGTTGGTGGTTTGAACTCCACCACTCCACAGAAAAAAGATATGGCATTTTGATTTGGTAAAGATGATACTGTGGAAACCCAATGGAGCGATTCCACTCTGTCCTATAGGGCTGCTATCAATCAGAATAAACTCAATGGTAGTGGGGTGTTTGGGATTCCTTTTGAGGAGAAACATATAGTATGATAGACCCCAGGAACTCTGATGGCATAGTGTATAACATGTCAGGCTACTGACTGAAAGGTTTGTGGTTTGAATCCACCAGCTGCTACAAGGAAGAAAGATGGTCAGTCTCCTCCCAGTGTGTTTCTAACATCAGAAACCTAATGGCGATTTGCTACGAGTTGCTGTCAACAACAGAGGTTTATACTGGGCTCGGGGAATTTCTGGGGAATGAGAGCAAGCTTCCTGAAGAAAATAATATTTAATTTGATAAATGGATGGTAGTTAACCAGATAAAGAATGAGTGAGGAGGGTACCCCAACTGAAGGAGCAGCGTATACAGAGGCTCAGCGGTCAGAGGAGGGCCAACAGTGGGGTAGCGAGAGCAGGAAGCAAGAAGACCGGAGAGAGTGGGGCTGAATCACACAGGAGTGTTTGAGCAGGGCTGAGGGGATTGGATGTCTCCTAAGAGCAAGAGGAAGGCAGTAAAAACCTGAAGCACAGAGGGCATGAGCCATACAACTCAGCGGTGTTACCTTCAGCAAGTTACTTGACTTCTCTGTCTCAGCAGCTTCATTTGCAAAGTGGGACAGATTACTCCTTCTTTTCAGGGCTGCTCAGAGGATTGAATTAAAACAGATAATGTTCAGAAAGCACCCAGCACAGCTCCTCATTCCTGGTAGGCGTTTCATAAACATTCATTACCTTTGCAGCTCTAAGTTGAACCTATGTGTTTGGAGGTTCTTGAGTCAAGGTCTGAGCTTGCCAAGAAAGGTGCATACACAGACACTGGAGGGAACAAGGTTTTAGTGACATGGAGAAGAGACAGAGTGAGGTCAGCTTCAGGAGTGGGTATTGGTTGCCCCTGGCCAGCAGGTCCTGCCCCTACAGCCTGCATAGCCTACCTCAGGTCATGGTTGAGAAACCTGACTCCCTCTTTACTGAGAAGAGAAATAATAGTACCATTGGCAAGCGCCATATTTCTTTCATGCACAAGTAAAATAGAGAGATATTCAGAGGACCCATAACAGAAGGGGTTGCCAGAACAGTAACTGAAACAGAAGTAGTCTCATTTCCTAGGAAGTTTCATTATCAGGAGGTGTTCCAGCCTTAGAGCTTCTGATTAGGCAATCAGATGAGGGTTCACAACAGGAGCATCTAACCAGGGCATCGCTGAAGATAGCACGGTGGCCCATTGCCCAGCTCACCTGTGTCAGCACCCTGTGTGCTCCTTGGTAAACAGCCGGTCACAAAGCAGGTGGACCAGGAAATGGGAATGGAATGTCCCAGCCTGACCTGTGAAGGGCACATATAGAAGTCCCCTGGGGGTACCAGTCTCTGAGACCCAATGTACAAGCCACAGATCTTTTCAGAAAGAGAGCGGGTGAGAAAATGTCCAGGCTCTGTTTACAAACCTCACCAGGACTCAGGGTCAGGACCCTCTCGGTTTAGCTGAGCCCCTAGTACGTACCTACCTCAGGTCAGGCATTTACTTCACCTTCGTAACAGAAACTTGACATGAGTTGCTGCCTGTCACCCTAACTCTCTGATAGGGGCTTGTTCTTATCCTTTCAAAAGGAAGAGGAAACCCCAGTGACTTAAATAGCAAGTCAGTGGCTGTAGATGTGGAATTCAAAGTCCAGGTGTTTTCATTTGTTTTCAGTACACCATGGTTTGGAAGCAGGAGTGGCGTCCCCACTTCCTAAATAGCATGCCTCTGGAAACTATGAATTTTGATAAATGTCAGTAGTTGTAGAGGGGCTTCAGGCCTTTTGTTCATAGGGTTGCTATGAGTCGTGCTCGACTCGAAGGCATTCAACACCACCACCATAGTACAGAAAGAATAGATGGGGAAGGAAGAAAAAGAGTTACTTAGATAGTAAAGAAATCTGCACCTCTGATCAGCATGGAAAACAAATCCTTTATCTCCATTTGACACCCTCCCCACCAGCGCTAGCTCATTCATTTCCTCAGGTGGATGGTCAAGTTCTTTTAAGAGAAGGAGGTCATCTTTACTTAGTGTTCTCTGACAGTCTAGTACAGTAGGCTACCAACGCAGAGGAAGTGGTTTCGGATTTTGTTTTGTTTTCTTAATTTTAAAAAAACTCACTCAATCTCAAAAGGGCTGAACTCGTTCATTTCTTAAGCTCAAGAAACTGAAGAACAAATTCAAACCTCAAGTTGCTATTACAAGGATGCTTTAGACAGAATATTAAATGATCCAGAAACTATTAAAAGAAGATGGAAAGAATATACTGAGTCACTGTATAAAAAGGAATTGGCAGACACAGAAGACTTTAATAAGATAATATATGAGCAAGAGCCTATGGTGATAAAGGAAGAACTTCAAGCTGCTTTAAAGGAAATAGCAAAAAACAAGGCCCCAAGAATAGATGGTATACCAATTGACATATTTCAGCTAGCGGATGCTGCCCTGGATGTGCTCACCAAGTTGTGCCAAGAAATCTGGAGAAAAATCACTTGGCCAACTGACTGGAAGAGATCTATATTTGTTCCCATTCCAAAGAAGGGTGACTCAACAGAGTGTGGAAACTACAAAACAATATCATTTATTTCACATGCAAGCAAGATTCTACTAAAGATTATCCAAAAACAACTGGAAAAGCACATCAGCAGAGAACTGCCAGAAGTTCAGGCTGGGTTTAGAAGGGGTCGTGGTCCTAGGAATATTGTAGCTGATTTTGGATGGATCTTAGCTGAAAGCAGAGAATACCGGAAGAATGTCTATCTGTGTTTCATTGATTGTGCAAAGGCATTTGACTGTGTGGATCATAACAAACTGTGGCTGACTCTGAGAAGAATGGGAATCCCAGTACACTTGATCGTGCTAATGTGAAACCTATACTTGGAACAAGAGGCAGTCATCAGAACAGAACAGGGAAACACTACATGGTTCAAAATTGGGAAGGGTGTACGCCAGGGATGTGTCCTATCTCCATATGCAGAACAGATTATCCGAGAGGCTGGGCTCTATGAGGAGAAGTGTGGCATTAGGATTGGTGGAAGACCTATTAACAATCTGTGTTATGCAGATGATACAACCCTGCTTGCTGAAACTGTGGAGGACCTTAAATGCTTGCTACAGAGGGTCAAGGACTGCAGCCTTCAGTATGGATTGAGTTTCAGTGTCAAGAAGACAAAGATTCTCACCACTAGACCAATTGGCATCATCAAGATGGATGGTGAAGAGATTGAGATTGTTGACAACTTTAGTCTGCTTGGCTCCATGGTCAACACTCTTGGCACCAGTAGCCAGGAAATCAAAAAACGTATTGTGATGGGAAAGTCTGCTGTTAGGGACTGCTCCAGGTTTCTGAAAAGCAATGGTGCACTCTGGAGACTAAGGCGTGTCTGATAGAGGCTATGGTCTTTGCAATCACTTGTTATGCATCAGAGAATTGGACAATGACTAGGAAGGATAGAAGGAGAATTGATGCCTTTGTGCTGTGGTGCTGGAGAAGAGTATTGAATGTACCATGGTCTGCCAAGAAAACAAACAGATTCATCTTGGGGAAGGTTAAACCAAGCTGCTCCTTGGAGGCAAGGATTCTGGGGCTTCGTCTGACATACTTTGGACATGTTGTAAAGAGGGACAGGTCCTTGGAGAGGGACATCATTCTTCGGAGGGTGGAGGAACGGCGGAGGAGGGGAAGACCCTCTATGAGGTGGATTGTTTCAGTGACTGGGGTAATCGGGATGGATGTGTCAGAGACAGTGCGATTGGCACAGGATAGAGCAGCGTTTAGGGCTGTTGTACATAGGGTCGCTATGAGTTGCAAGCAACTTGACAGCACATAACAACAACAACAACACCCAATCTCATTGCCAGAGTCAGAACCAACTCATAGTTTAACACTTCAGTGGGGTTTTGAGGTTATAAATCACAAGGGAGCAGATTGCCTCTTTCTCTCACAGCTGCTCGTGGGTTTGAACTGCCAGAAAGCAGGGCCTTTGGGTTAAAAATGTAATTCCCAAAATCTCTGTAGATGTTCATTGAAATGAAAAATAAACAACCTAAATTAAAAAAAAATGTAATTCCCTGCTGACTGCACCACCGGACCTCCCTATTTTTAATGCAAAAGTAATATGGCTAAGGTCAAGAAGGTTTAGAAGGGAAAAGACCAGCTAGCCCTGACCCTTCTGGCAGCCGGGGGAGCTGATTGTCCTCACAGGCTGGCTGTATCCATTTCCTGTGGCTGCCATAACAAATAACCACAAAATGAGTCACCTGAAGCTACAGAAATGTGTTCTCACAGTTCTAGAGGGTTGTTGTTGTTGTTGTTATGTGCCATCGAGTCGTTTGCGCCTCATAGCAATCCTATGTACAAGAACCCTAAACACCGTTCTGTCCTATGCCAGCCTCACTGTCTAGAGGGTAGAGGTCCTAAATCAGGGTCTTGACAGGGCCGGCCCCCTCTGAAGACTCTGAGTCACTCATTGCTAGTCAAGCAGAGCTGACTCATAGCTGACCCCAGCCCTCCAGTGGGTTTGCAGAGGCTGTAAATTACATGAGGGGAGATTGCTCATCCTGTCCCCCCAACCCCCAGAGGAACTGGTGGATTCATGCCACCAGAGAACTGCTGCCTGCTGACTCCACCACCAGAGCTCCCCTGGCTCCAGAGGATTTCTCCTTGGCTTCTCGTGGTCGCCAGCAATGCTTGGCGTTCTTGGTAGGCACATCGCTCCAGTCACTGCCTCTGTCCTCACATCACCTCTTTCTGTGTCCATCTGTGTTCCTCTTCTTCTGAGTAAGGATACCAGTTACTAGATTTAAGCATCACCCTCAATCTGATACTATCTCATCTTGATCCTTAACTAATTATATTGACAAAGACCTATTTACAAAGGTCACACTCTGCGTTTCCAGATGGATATGAATTTGGAAGACATTATTCAACCCACTACATTTGCTTCTATGTGTGATGAAACTGACTGGATTGCTCCGTACAAAGACAGTGAATATTAAAAATAAATAATAGTTGTATAGAGAGCTATTGCCAGAAGCAAGGCCTCACCCCAAGCACCAGCTTACTTGGTTCTTCACATCAACCCAAGAAAGTGGGCATAATTATCCCTCTCCCCCATTTTACAGTTGAGAAGACTGAGGCTCATGGGGCTGCTCAAGGTCTCTCAGCCAGTCAGGGGCAGGGCTCACCTCTGCTCTGTTTGTCTCCACAGCCTGTATTTTTGGTCCTAGAACAATGAAATGCAGTATCACGCTTTACAGTTTATATAATGCTGTTCACACAGCATCTCCTGTGATTCCCCCCACACCTTCCTGCCCCAGGACTTTGTTCTCTCAGGTGTAGAAACCCAGACACGGAGGCAGTGCCTCGTTGTGAGTCATGGAGCTTCATGGGTCATTGTCACAGCAAACCTGTGCTGTTCTGTACCCACAGCCTCTCTCCAGTCTGGCGATCACCTTCTAGAGACATTGTGTGTGGGTATGTGTAGTAAATATGTGCTTGTGTGTGTGTGTGTGTATATATATATATATATATACACACACATATATATACGTACATATAACAATGTATACCATTTAAGTTATTTATTTTAAGAGTACAGTCAGTAGCATTAAGTATGCTCACTTGTTGTGCAACCATCATCTATTTCCAAAACCATTTTCACATAGAAACTTGGCACCCCTTAAGCAATAAATTATCATTCTCATTTTCCACAGCTACTAATCTATTATTTTTGTTTTTTGTTGTCTCTCTGTATTTGTCTCCTCTTGCAATTTCCCATCAGTGGAATCAGGCAGGATTTGTCCAGTGTAAAGTTTTCAAGGTTCATGCATGTCACAGAATTCCAAATCCTCACAGAATCCAGATTTTCTTAAGGCATTGAGCTAGAATGAAATTAATACCCTGTGATAATCTTCAAACTTAAACCAAAAATACTTCCTGGAGCATTCTTTAAACCTAACAATAATTTATCTTAAATTACTGTTCATTCTGCTCATTTTTTTATCTTTTGTGTTATCTTTTCGGATTTTTATTTTGTTTTGGCTTTTTTTTCTTTCTTTGTTTTTGCCTAGTCAAGTTAGGAAGCTCTAGAGGCTTAGTGGCAAGAAGCTGCGCTGCAGTCCCAAAGGCATGCAGTTCAAATCCGTCAGCTGCTCTGAGGAAGAAGGATGAGCAGTCTCCTCCCATGAGATTTTACTGTCTCTGAAAACCCACTGGAGTGTCGATTATGAGTCATTCCAACTCAATGGCACACAACAGCAGCAACCTTTATGGAAGCACAGCACTAGGTCTTTTCTCCCACAAAGAAACTAGTGGGTTTAAGCCACTAACCTTTCAGTTTGTAGCCAGGTGCTTACCCTTTGCCCCACACTTTCAGGGTACCTTGAAGTCTGGGATCAAACTGACAACAGTAACTGAAAAGGTTGGACAGGAAGCTTAGGGGTTCTGAGTTCATGTTAATGAGATAAGAACAATTTTCAAGAAGAGGATGAGAATGCACAACAGAAAAGCATCTATGCAGAGGTTGTTTTATTGGTGTGTATTCTGTTGTGCATATTTTAATGCCAACAAAAATTTAATAAAATGAAAAAAATGTTCATCTGTGTTGTAGTGCACCTCGTTCCTTTTTTACGGCTACACTGTTGACAGTCCCTGAGTTGTGGCAGAGCTGTGACAGGGTCCCACAGAGGAGAAGGAGCAATTGTAAGGTTGTAATTGAACCAACATATAGCACCCTGTCAGAGGAGGGGGAAGCCTTTGGCTCCAGCAGCACGGTGACATACACTGGTGTCCACCCAGAACTGTAAGTGCTGGCACCTTGACTCCATCCATTCATTTGTCAAAGCACTCGAAAAAACAGCTTGTAGGAGAGGCAGCCCTTAAACTGGGATACAAACTGTGATTATGGCCTGTTACGCAAGCTGATGGTAAATCACAGCATGTGTGTGATCTCAAGGAAGAATGAACCAAAGAGAATATAGAGAAGACCCAGAAGCTACTGAAGTGTTTTGTGAAACAGTGAGAATAGCTCCGAAATTTGAAAAGGTCATTTGGGTCACAGGCAGAAGTGGATGTATGCTAGACTAGGAGCCTCCTCTGCACTCCCACAACCCCCGCTCCATCTAGGATAACCAATAACCAGCGGCCGTCAAGTCAGCCCTGACTCATGTGATGCGAGTATAACTGCACTCCACAGGCTTTCAGTGGCTGATTGGCAGAAGTAAATCACCAAGCCTTTGTTCTAAGGCTTCTCTGGGTAAACTTGAACCACCAATATGCCAGGAAGCAGCAAGTGTGTTAACCAACTGCATCATCCAAGAACTCTTCTCCCATGCTAGAATCACTGTATGATGCTTCCATGCCCGCTTTTTCTGTCTAGATTGCCTAGTTTCCTCATTGGTGAAATGAGGCTAATCACAGTACCTGTTTCAGGAGCTGTGTTGTCATTAGATGCTGTCGAGTCAATTACGACTCATAGTGACGCTGTGAACAGCAGATCTGAACCTGGCTCTGCCCTGCACCATCCTCACCATTCTGCCTCTTGCTAGAATCACTGAGTCAATCCATCATGTTGAACGTCTTCCTCTCGTTCGCTGAGGCTCTGCTTTTCCAAGTATCATTGATGTCTTTTTCCAACAACTGGCCCCTTCTTTTTTTGTCCAGATTTTTAAAAAATTTTTATTAATTTTCATGAACATTTACAGAGATTTTGGATTTCCATTCATTCATTGTTGCACTTTTCTCCCTGTCCAGCCCTCCCCCCAGTTCACTCTTCTCTTTGAAAAGTAAAAGAAAAATTCCTTCATTGGTATACAATCCCTCCGCCCCAAGTACACTCCACTTTGCAACCTTCATTCTGGACTTTTGTGATAACCATAATACCCTATCATATATTGCTTTTAAACTGTTCTCTCCCTCATCTGTTTCAATGCAGTATACATAATTTATCCAGTTTTTCTCACTCCTACCCCAACCCTGTGTCAGTCCCAACAGTGGCACCATGCATCCCCTTCTGACAACATGTTCAAAGTATATGAGACTAAATTTCACCATCCTTGCATACAAGGAGCACCCTGGTTGTATTTTCTTTTAGATAGATTTGATTGTGTTTGGGGGTTTTTTATATAGTCCATGGTGTAGTCAATACTCTTCACCAGGAACTGTATCTTCTTGTTGTGTTTTCGAGTCAGAACCCTCAATCTCATTGTGATCATGTTGGGACTGACTCATGCCTGATCCTTCAGTAGGTTTTGTGAGACTGTGAATTGCACAAGAGGCAATTGCCTGTCTTTCTTCTGTGGAGCTGCTGGTGGGTTCAAACCACCAGACCCACACTGCCTTTTAGGAGAGTAGCACAGCTCTCCACAGACAAGACTACCAGAGCTCTCTACTTTGCATGATGGCAAATAAATTCATTTCTTACAATTCCCATTGAAGAGAGATATATGTTAATCTCCCAGCTTCATACTGTGAGGCTCAAGGTCCCCAACTATAATGAGTGCAGAAGTTGGGATTTGAACTCCTGTCTGCTGATTCCCAAGGCTGTCAGTGATCTGTAGGTTCTGCTCACAACTGTCACCCATTGACAGGGGATGAGTACCTATCTTCTCTACAAAACTGAGCATCCCCCTGAGGTAGTGCCTGCCTGGAAAAGTGGGTTAGTGCATCTTTTGAAGCAGACATGATATGATGCAACTCCCTGTGTTCTCTGCAGGTACCTTCAGTGCCCCATGGGCTGCCCTCGCCCGCAGCCGTGAGCAATACTGCCTGGCCTGGGAGGCCAAGTACCTCATGGAGCTCGGCAATGCCCTGGAGACCATCCTCAGTGGTCTGGCCAACATGGTGGCCCAGGAGGCCTTGAAGTACACAGTGCTGTCTGGTAAGCTCCCCTCCCCACTTTGTTTACCACACACGTCTGTCACTGCACCTGTCCCAGTGGCTCCATACCTCTGCAGGCCTGAGGCCCCACCAAACAGGCACTGTCATGGGCCCTGGGAACAGAGGGTCAGGCTGCATTCCTACATGTGAGAAGGTCGTGATCTCTGCAGGGAAGAGACTAGTAAGCATCCAGCCACATTATCACATAATGTATCGTTAAACTCTTGCTGCATAACACACTGTCCCAAAACTCAGTGACTTGCAATGATAGGCGTTTATTATTACAGTACATTATGAGATTAGGGTTAGCGAACCTTGTCTGGGGCAACAAAGGCAACTTAGCTCAGCTTTCATCCTCTCCTGGGTCAGCATGATGCACAGTCCATTTCAGGCCTCACAGTTACTCACATCTCATCAGACAGAGCAAGTCACATGGTCAGCGCAGAGTGAATGGACTGACAAGTCGGTCCCCCCCCCCCCCCGGTGGGAAGCACTGCTGAGTAAGAGGGTCCAGGATAAAGTAATGAATCAGAGCCACCTTCGGAAACTGATGGAGACCACATGGCATGTGCTTTAGCAGACGTCTAGTCTACGCATCAGAAGTGGAGGAGCTTCAGATCTCCCCTTATTAGCAGCTACATGACCCTTGGCCAGGCTGCAAGTTCCAAGTTAGACACTACACATTCACTCCAAAGGCATCCACTAACCAGTCATTTCGACCTCCCAACCCCTCACTGCTGGTCCCCCTACCTTCCCAGGCATTGTGGCTGCCCTGACCTGGCCAGCTTCACTCCTCAGTGTCGCCAATGTCATCGACAACCCCTGGGGTGTGTGCCTCCACCGATCAGCAGAGGTTGGCAAGCATCTGGCGCACATCCTGCTCTGCCGGCAGCAGGTACCTGGCAGTGGTGGTTGGTAAGGGTGACGGGGGGGAAATGAGGGTGGTCACTTGCACATGGACGTTAACCTCAGATATAGGTCCATGTAGAGTAATCCAAGGCTTAGGAGGGCAGTCCCCCCGACCCTGCAGCTCAAGTCATCCAAGGTCAGAGTGTCTGTCCTAGGACAGACCAGCAAGCACCGGAGGCTGGACATCTCCAGCAGGTTACTGAGGGCTGGATAACAGGGTCACCCACAGGTATGTGAGAGATTGAAGGACTAGCGCAAAAGCCAGAGTAGCTCCCGTGTATCAACTTTTCAAGTCACAGTGGGGTATTGTGAAAAGTTTTCAATTAGCAATAATCATGCCTCGGATAGACCTCATTGGCTTCGCTATTGCCACTGTACAAAGCTCCTGTGTGTTACCTTTTAACTAAAATATTGGGGGGGGGGAAATGCCTGGTTTCTAAAAAAACACAAGACCATGCCCATTACCAAAATCAATTCTGACCCATATCACCATGTAAGACAGAATAGAACTGATTTTCAGAGTTTCCAAAGCTGTAAATCCTTATGGAATCTGACGGCCCCATTGTACTCCCACAAAACAGCTGGTGGTTTCAAACCACAAGTGTTTCAGTTAGCAATTGAGAACTTAAACACTGCACCACCAGGGCTACTTTGTTTTTCTTTTTGGTGTTCTTACATTTTTTCACTGTCATTTGAATGAAAGTTTGCAAACTAAGCTGGTGCACATTTTGTTTTGTGACATTAAATATAATACCCACAATGTAATCAATCACATTTTCCCACTTTTAATTCTCATTTCCATTCTTTCTCCTATCCTACCGCTTTCTGCTTTCTGGGCTGTATCTTTGGACAAATGCTGGTCTTCTCATCTTAGGAGTGAGTGTCTAACTGATGTTATTGTTTGGCTGAAAGTTGACTCCTGAGGGTGGGTTTTTTCCCAGTTCAAAGGTCGTAATCTTAGGGGTTCCACCAGTCTCTGTTGGACCAGTCAGCCTGGCCTTTTTTGCCAGGGCTCCTTTAACTGGGCCGCTTAGGGCACTATGTCAGTGCGAAGTTCTGGCTAGGTTGGCTGTTCCCCAGGAGAGCAGAAGAGAACACACACCTGTGCTGGCTATAGATGGAACTGCCATGTCCTGGGGATCAGCTGTTCTTCCCTACAACTTCCCAGCTAAGCAAGTCTCAATAGTCTAAATACGTTGTGAAATGGTTAGGAGGAGAAATCATCAACTTTTTTTTTTTTTCAATTTGAAAGCACTGTTTTATTAACTGACCAGATTACAAAAAAGAATCATGGCTGATACCTTAGTTCATTCTTCTGATAAGTCTGTTGATCTGGTCTAAAACTGTACATACTGAGAAAATTGTCCCTTTTCAAAACAAGTGGAAGTTAAATAGAGGGGAAGTTTGAGGAAATAATAGCAGAGATGACTGTATTGTTAAGAACAGTCATAACTGACTGCAAGTGGGAGAATATTCAAAATAACAATGACTTAAACAAGACAGAAAAGAGCTCTGGTGGCCTAGTGGTAAGAAGCTGAACCACAATCCCAAAGGCACAGAGTTCAAATCCACCAGCAGCTCCAAGAGAGACTGATGGACAGTCTCCTCCTGTGTGATTAACTCTTTCTTAAAACCCACAGGAGGGTCAACTATGAATCAGTTCTAAGTCGGCAGTACACAACAACAAACAAGATAGGAGTCCATTTCTCATGTAAAAGTAAAGGAAGGTAGTCTAACAGTTGGAACACTGTGCCAGGTGTCGGAGGCCCAGGTTCCTTCTAGCTTATTGCTCTGTTCTATATGGTCTTGACTTCATGGGCAAGGGGGCAGCATATGTCCTCCAGGTCATAGGAGAAAGAAATAGATAGAAACACAGCAAAAGTCTTATAACACTATTATCCCACTGACCAAGCCCTACTCATGTGACCATATCTAGCTGTCATAAAACCAAAAACTAAACCAGTTGTTCTCAAGCAGCTTCCAGCTCATGTTATTATTATTATTATGTGCCATCAAGTCACTTGAGACTCATAGCAACCCTATGTAAAACAGCCCTGAATCTTGCTCTATCCTGTGCCAACCTTATTGTCTCTGACACACCTACCCTCATTACCCCAGTCACTGAGTCAATATACATCTTATTGAGGGTCTTACTCTCATGCACTGACCCTCCACCCTCCCAAGCATAATGTCCCTCTCCAGGGACTGGTTCTCCTTGCAGCATACCCAAAACATGTCAGACAAAGCCTCAGAATCCTTGCCTCCAAGGAGCAATCTGGTTTCACCCTCTCCAGGACAAAGCTGTTTGTTCTCCTGGCAGTCCATGGTATTTAAATATTCTTCTCCAGCACCATAGCTCAAAGGCATCAATTATTCTTCTATGATCCCTAGTCATTGTCCAGCTTTCTGACACATACAAGTAATTGCAAAGAATTATGGCCTGGATCAGGCACACCTTACTCTTCAGTACTCTGCAGAGGTCCCTGATAGTAGACTTTCCCAGTGCAGTTGATCTTTTGATTTTTTCCTGGCTGCTAGTACCAAGAGTGTTGATTGCAGAGCTAAGCAAACTGAAGCTGTTGACAATCTCAGTCTCTTCCATCATAATGCTGCCACTTGGCCCAGTGGTGAGAATCTTTGTTTTCTTGATGTTGAGCTTCAATCCATATTGAAGGCTGAAGTCCTTGACCTTCTGCAGCAAGCAGTTCAGGTCCTCCTCAGTTTCAGCAAACAGGGATATGCCATCTGCATATTACAGGTTGTTGATGAGTCTTCCACCAATCCTGATTCCACATTCCTTCTCATAGAGCCCAGCCTTCAGATTATTTGTTCTGCATATAGATTGAAAAGGTATGGAGACAGAATACATCCCTGGTGTACACCCTTCCTGATTTTGAACCATGCAGTGTTTCCTTGCTCTGTTCTAACGACCGCCTTCTGGTCCAAGTATAGGTTTTGCATTAGCACGATCAAGTGCTCTGGGTTTCCTGTTCTTCTCAGAGTCAGCCACAGTTTGTTGTGATCTACACAGTTAAACGACTTTGCATAATCAATGAAACACAGATAGACATTCCTCTGTACTCTCTGTTTCAGCCAAGATCCATCTGACATTAGTTAGAATGTCCCTAGTACCATGGCCTCTTCTAAACCCAGCCTGGACTTCTGGCAGTTTTCTGTTGATGTGCTGTTCCAGTCGTTTTTGGATAATTTTCAGCAGGATCTTGCTTGCATGTCTTATTAATGATATTCCAACTCAGGGCAACCCCCTATATATCAGAGTAGACCTATACTCTGTAGTGTTTCCAGCAGCTGTGGCGTTTCAGAAGTAGATCACCCAGCCTTTCTATCAAAGTGCGTGGCGTTTCAGAAGTAGATCACCCAGCCTTTCTATCAAAGTGCCTAAGAATGGATTTAAGCTACCAACATTTCAGTTAATAGCTGAATGCTTAATTGTTTGTACTTGTTGTTATGTGCCCTCAAGTCACCTGCGACTCAAAGTGACCCTATGTACAGAAGCTCTGAACTGTGCCCTGTCCTGAGCCAGTCTTACAGATTCTGACACACCAACCCCCGTTGTCCCAGTTACTGTATCAATCCATCTCATACTAGGTCTTCCCCTCCTGCATTGTCCCTCCACCCTTCTGAGCATGATGTCCTTCTCCAAGGACCGGTATCTCTTTGCCACGTGCCCAAAAGCTGGGATGTGTCTTTCCTGGGTAGCCATGGGCCCAGCTGAAATTCAACATCGATGAAAAAAGTGGAGAACTGATATTGAGAGACAACTAACAGTCAGTGTTACAGAGGGTAGATTACTTAAGAGACTGGTAACTCTCATCTAATTCTTATATCTTTGCTAATAGTAAAGTTTTCTAGTAGGATTGGCTATATAACAAAAATAAAATCGGCATCAATTTAAATAAAATGAAAATGTGTTCTTTTTTTATGATATTTTTAAAGAAAATTTTTATACTGGATTGCTTACAAAATTTGTATACATTGTTTTTCACACCGGTTCTTTCCCATTTTCTTTACCCACCCCTCACCCCACACATCAAATTGTACCACCATATCCTGCCCATCCTCGCCCCTCTGCTCCTACCCTCCCCCCATTGGATCCTCATAGAAGTTTTACTATTTATCTTTTTATTTTTACAATAATGGTTCTATACAGTATTTGTCCTTATGGAACTGTGTTAGTTCACTTAGCATAATACTCTCCAGTCCCTCCCAGGTTAGGTAGTGATTTGAAAAATCATTGCTCCTGCTTGCTGCATAGTATTCCATCGTGTAAATGGAAAATTTCTTCTTTTCCGTTTATCAGTCTGGGTGTGAGCATCTAGGGTACTATGGCATAAATGAATTTCTTATTTCTGATATAACAAGTTACCACGGACAGTGGCTTCCACCAAGCTCCAGCAAGTGGTTAGTGGTATGGAATCGTGAGACCAATGCAGAGGAATGCTATTTGAATCCACCAGCTGCTCTGCAAGAGAAAAATGGACAGTCACCTCCTGTGCAGTTTATAAGTGGCTTCCAACAACACAAATTTACTCTCTTACAGTTCTGGAAAAGCCTGGCACAGGTCCACCTTCCCTTTGGAACCTCCAGAAGAGAACCTGTTTCTCCCCTTGCTCTTCCCAGCTTAAAATCCACGTGACTCCTGGACGCTTCCTCCTCCCTCAAAGCAAGCAGCGTCGCATCGTAAAGCTTGCTCTCACTTTTCCTCTGCTTCCACCTTCACATTCGCTCTTTGTATCTCTGACTCTTCCTGTGTCCTTCTTACAGAGATTATATTGGGCCCACCTGGGTAATCCAGGATGATTTCCCTATCTCGAAACGCTTACCTTCATTATGTCTGTGAAGTTTCTTCTTCCTTCTAAGAGAACATCGCAGGTTCCAGGGATTATAAGTGGAACTTCAAGAGGCCCTTATTCAGCCTCCCACATGATAGATAGCTTCGCAATATTGAGAACCCAGGCTCCTTTAATCTTATAGCTCACATCCTCCCCTACTTGTCTTCTCGCCTGTTACCCAAGACAGATACCACAGTGTTTCATCCACATTACAGCCAGTGGAAAGTGGCAAAGTGAGAGTGAAGGGTAGAAGTCACAGCCACCGCTCCCCTCCACCTCCATTGGCCATGACTTAGCAATATGGATACCTCTACTCCAGGGGATTTAGGAAACAGCCTTAGGCGGGGTAGCTGTGTGCCTGGTAAAACCAATTTTACAGAGGACAAAAGGGAGAATGACCAGTATGATGGTAGGAATGACCAGAATGACATAAAAATGGATATTGGGAAATAACCAGTAGCCGTTACTGCAAAGCCTGGCAAAATTTGAGGATTATTCAGTGGAGGATTTTCTTTTTTACTGGAGAATGGGGATACGTGTAAAAATAACAGAAAAAAACCCCAAGCCCTATACTAGTCCATCCAGGCTCCAGCTCCAGAGCCTGTCTGTCCTTTCTCCTTCCTTCTGGGTGGAACGTGTACCCTAATGCCCCAGGTAACTTTCTCTTTCTTTACACTCTTCCCTTAATAGCAAGTTGCCTTTCTTCAAATTCTTCCATCAGAAAATTCCTCTTTATGTCTAACTCACTACCTTCTTATAACTTAAAGCTAATATTCTGTATCCCACTCTCCTATCTAGAAACAAACAGTGGCCCTGCCTGATAACCCTTTGCCTTTTTATTCCTCACATCTGAGGACGCCTTCCTCCTCATCATGGCTCCAGGGGGGCCCCTACTTCTCAGTAGCCATTTGCCACGAGGTAGTCGAATCTAAAGAGCAAACTCTTATAATTGACTAGTCTCTCTCCTAGGGAGGAGAGAGGAGGCTGGATAGTGGTCTAAGCTGAAAGGGAATTAAGGGAGCCAGAGGCTGCTTGCCGACCTCAGAGGAAGCCAATTCCAGTGGCAGGTACCCTCTTGCATAGATGAGGAGCTGGCTCTTCTGATTAAGAAATCAGGACCAGGAATAGCTGTGCATGAGTCACTGAGCACGCGACAGGCACTGGGAGGGTTCAGCACCCGCACCCCAACGCTGTCTCCTCTAGACAACTGTGTCCTTCCTCTTCCCAGGGCCGGCGGCCTGTCACCTTGATTGGCTTCAGCCTGGGAGCCAGAGTCATCTACTTCTGCCTGCAGGAAATGGCTCAGGAGAAAGGTGAGTCTGGCTTGTTATCATCAATGAGAACCCTTCCCAAATCTGTTCCTCAGGCCAGAGGTCCTAAACTTGGAGTCACAAACCTTGCAATGTTTCTGCCGTTCTAGACATGACTGTGAAAAGCTTGTACTGAAAAATGAAGGTTTATTTTCTGTGTGTATTTTACAGTGATGGTAATTACATTGCCCTCAAGCACTGGTGAACATTCTTGAATGGGATTGAAGGGAATACAGATGTTCTTTGCTTCTTGGTGTAGTGATTGAGCAGGGAGGGAAAGATCATATACGCACATACCCCATTATAAGGCATTTAGCTCTCCTGCCTCCAATACTGAATGTTAGTAGCCCCTCTGGTCACTATGACAAATCTAGAATGCCACACATATTTCCAGATTTTCTTGGCAGGAGTAGAAGAATATAGGCTCCATTTGAGAATCATGGGGCTACCACGCAATGGGAGTACTCTGCGTATGTATATGTATATGTATGTACTCTCTTAGCGGTGTGTTATACTGTCCAGTATCCTCCCTTCTAGCTGAGGCAATGAAAAATTTGTGGGTCACTGTCTTAAACTTCATATGTATGAGCTTCCCAGGACATAATGCTAGTTCAGGGCAGATCTGTCAGAGGGGCTGGACATAGTGATTTGCAGGGCACTTGGGGCAGTTCATGGGGCACAGATATGCCTGTCCCCTGATAGAGCACTGCAATGGCAGGACATAGCAGTAAGGACACTCCATCACCTGGATGGATCTGGTGAAGCCATGGGCCGCACTCTCCCTCAGAATCTCACTGGAGGTCTCTCTGAGCCTGTTTCCTCATTTAGAAAAGAGAATCAGTAATGCTCCCCTCTAGTGGTTACCTCGAGGGCTCATTGAGGTGCTCCATGTGCATAAAGAGCAAGGATGACAGTGGAAAGAGTAAGGTGCGCCTGACCCAAGCTATGGTATTTTCAGTTGCTTCATATGCATGGAAAAGTTGGACAATAAATAAAGACGACTGGTTGAATTGTGGTGTTAATGAAGAAAATTGAGTAGGCCATGGACTGTCAAAAGAACAATTAGATCTGTCTTAGAGAAAGTCCAACTAAGGTACTTTAGAGACAAGGATGATGAAATGTCATCTTAGATACTTTGGGCATGTTGCCAGGGAGCCTTATTCCCTGGGAAAGGGTATCATCTTCTAGTGCTTAGAAAAGGAGATCAGTGAAAGACAGGAAGACCTTCAATGAGATTGATTGACACAGGGATTATGCAATGGACTTGAGCAGATTAGAAATTGAGGATGTTACAGACTAGGACAAGGTTTTAATATGATGTCCATAATGTCACTAAAAATTAGAGTCTCCTCAACAGGACGTAGCACCAACAGCATGCACCATGCTTTTACCCATCATAAAACCATAGAGCACGTAGAGGGCGGCTCAAGGACATGAATGTGTTGCTTCTGCTCTTCAGAGTTCCCTCCGTCCTGAATGTACGCCCCCAGACAGCCCCGGCCACATTCTCCCTGGTCACCTGTGATGCTGTGGCTGCTCCAGGTACGGGCCAGCACAGCATAGGTGGGACGTCAGCTGGCTAGACCCAAGGGGGCTGGAGGAGTCAGGGGCTGGCTGGTGCTATTTTCAGCATTGGCGTCATAAAAGGGCAGAGGGAGACCCCCCCAGAACTTGAAGCTATGCCTCATTTCTGCTCATTTGCTTTTGCTGTAATCTCTCCCCAGCATTACCCTCGGCTGGGGACCAGGCTATCAAGACCAGGTGGGTGTGCCATGCTTAACATTCACAATGGAAAGGCCAAGCCCCTCCATGTACCACTATGGCCTTGCTATCCTCTCTTGAAAGATCCTCTTTCCCTTGCCCCTGTGGCGTTCAGGAATCTCCTTTGCCTCGATTTGTCCCTAGCACCACCATGCAGGGGGGCCTGGGGAGCCAGCTCTGAGTTGCGTTCATTAGGAAAATTCAGGCTGGGATGAGAAGTAAGACAAAAAGTAGTAGGGAATCAAGAGGTGACTCTAGGCCCTTGGTCAAGGTTTGCTTCCATGTCTACCTTGGAAAACATTGTCCTTCCCTTTCTATATACATTCTTCCTCCTACTAGGTAGGCATTACCTAATATAGAGCAATTAAAAAAATTTACATTTATCTGCCTTTCCTGCTCCACCTGTTACTGGGATCTTGTGGCCTGCTGGGAAGAGCTCCCTAGACTACCATAGTTTCTCCCTATCCTCAGCATTTCCCTAGCGAATGGCTTTATTGATGTGGAACAACATCACTGACTCTTACATAATGCCATTCTGTGTTTCTGCAACCTTGTAGCAATATAATTCTACTTCCAGACTCTCTCAGGGGGAAATGGGGAATAGTATTTCTCTTACAGTAGAACACAGACTCTTTGCTGCATAAATGTGTGGGTTATAGGGAGGCAGATGGTTGTGTTGATCGCCTGTTGATGTAGTGAAGCCGCATGACAAACAGCCCAAGACTCCCTGGGTTAGCGAGGTGTTTTCATGGTCAGAGCCCATGGATTGGCTGTGGTTCAGCTGATCTGGGATGGGTTCTCTTTCTGAGTGCAGGTTGGAGGGACTTGCTTCCAGCCACAGGCAGGGCTTGGGTCATCTCACAGTCATTGTGCCAGGGCTGAGGTTGGAGGGGCAGCCAGGGCCGAGGTTGGAGGGACAGCAGCTACCCAGGGCTGTGCTCTTCCATGGCTGTTCACTAGCATGCCAGAGCCACGCCAAACTATTTAAGCCTCTGCCCAGAGCACATTCTAGTGAATATATTATTGCATAATGTGTTCAAGCATTCTGTATTAGTTAGTATTGGGGTGGTGCGGGTGAGGGATAATACTCCAGAGACACGCTGTTAGATGCCATCCAGTCTGATCCAGTTCCTGGTGACCTCATGCCCAGCAGGACAAAACATCGCCCAGCCCTATCCTAACCTTGATGATCTTCGATGTGCACAAGCCCATTGTCCTAGCCATCGTCCATTTGTAGTGCCTTCCCTAGGGAGCTCATCTCAGCATTGCATCAGTGTTCTGTTGTGATCCAGAGTTTCCAGTGGTTATTTTTTATAAAGTCATTCTACAGGCCTTTCCTCCTAGTCTCTCGTAGTCTGGAAGCTCCACTGGCCCCATGAGTGACCTTGCTGGTATTTGAAATGCTAGTGGCATAGCTTCCAGCATCACAGCAACATGGAAGCCACCCCTGTGCAACAGACTGAGTTGGAGGAAGAACTTGGCAGTAGCCACACCCCAACCACCCCCAAGCTTGCTCACTTCCTGAGAAACTTGATACCATCTAAGCTGGTCATATCAAAGACCAGCCCAGACAATGGATCCTGGTAAGGGTCTGAGCCTGATCAAAATAGCTAACGTGCCAAATTCCGAGAAATACCATCTTAGTCCTTCCCAGGATCCCTGTGAGAAGGAAACCCTCCAGACTGCCCGAGCGCCATTTCAATACTGTCCTCTTGCTGTGCGGCCAGGTCACTTGGTGTCCCTCTCAGACCATGCAATAAAGTCCTGTTCGTTTCTTGGGGTCAGTTTCTTTCTTTCTCTCTTTCTCACTCCCTTTCTCTCTCTCTCTTTCTTTCTCTCTCCTCTCCTCTCCCTTTTCTCTTCTCTTCTCTCTCTCTCCTTCTCTTACTCTCTCCCTCTCCCTCCTGTCCTCTCCCTCCTCTCCCTCTATCTTCCTCTCTCTCCTGCTCCTGCTCCTGTCCTGTCCTGTCCTCTCCTCTCCTCTCCTCTCCTCTCCTCTCCTCTCCTCCTTCCTCTTCCTCTCCTTCTTCCTCTTCTTCTGCTCTCCTTCTCCCTTCCCTCTCCCTCTCCCTCTCCCTCTCCTCTTCCTCTCCTCTCCCTTTCCCCCTCCCTCTCCCATTTTCTCTCCTCTCCCTCTCTCTTCCTCTCCCTCTCTCTTCCTCTCCCTCTTTAACCCTTGTGCTTTTTTTTCTATCTAACAGTAGTCCACAAACATAGTGACTTAGAACAGCGTTAATGCTCACAACTCTGTGGCTTGGTCAGACAGTTGTATTCTCACCTGTCCCCTGGTGCTGTTGTGAGGGCAGCTGCTGGGGTGATCAGAAGGTCCAAGTTGACCTCACTTGCGTGTCTGGCAGTTGTTGCCAGCTGCTGGCCAGCAGACCTCAGTGTTTCTCCTGATGGTCACTCATGCTGCAGCGGGCTTGACTCACTTCCTTGCACAGGGTCTTAGGGCAGCATCATAGTGGACAGGAGTGAAAGGTGCAAGGCCTCTGAAGGCCCTACCTCAGGAAGTTTCTCTAGCATTGCTTCTATCACCTACTATAGAGCTATGCTCCACAGAGTTTCAGCTGCTGAGCTTTTGGAAGTGCCTCTCCAGGCCTTTCTTCCAAGGCACCTGTGGGTGAAATCAGACCCCTGGCCTTTTGGTTAGCAGCAGAGCACAGTAATCATTTGCACCATCCAGTACTCCTGGCTCTCAGTAAACATGGCCTCTCATGTCCTTCTGTGATCTGCAGGCTGAGATGCCCCCTGCTGGTGGAGGAGTGGCCCCATGTCCTGACAGCTCCCTGAACCAGCTTCTCCTGGAGAGGCCGTGGAAAAATTGCTGTCGCCAGTTCTGTCCTCACTTTGTTTTTTCTATAGTAATCTTTCCCCCGACCCATGGAGCAAACCCTCTGCCAGGCTCCTCATTACCTCCACTGATGTGGTTTTATTAATAGAACCGAATCTTAATTTAAAGGAGAAGACTCTTTGGCTCCAATTAGCATAAATTACATGTTCATTTCAGATCACTACTACAATCCAAGGCTTCATTCCCCTACAAAGCAAATTGAATTAATTACCATTAACTGTTTAGCCCTGGCAGTCAGAAATGAGGTCTCTGGTCAGCTGCCTCCAGAAAAAGAAGCTAGAAGTGGTCAGGGAGGGGGAGGCAGGGGCCTCTGGGTGTGGGGTTGCTTAGGGTGACATGAGGAGGTAGCCACACACCACAGCCTGGCGGGGACTGGTTCCCATAGCAG